AAAAAAGCTGACCTTTCAGCGCAGAAACAATGTATTCGCTCTTCTCTTGACCTCTTAAACCGTTAGATAAATTGGATTTTCCACTGATATTTAAAATGGGTCTTAAAATATTATACAGATTGACTTTGTTTTGTGCGATGATATATGCGCCCATTTTTAAGACTTGTCTAATTCACAGCTAATTACGGAGTACGAAACAAGATAATCCTGAACACAAAATATCCTATTCTGTTCTGGAAAATGATTATGATCGCTTTTCCATCGGCATGAAAAGGAACAATTATTGCACAGCGTTGCCTTTTGTTCGCGCCATTTTGGCTTCTAATTGACTTTAACAATGAGGCATCCTTATTTGGAGAAACCAATAACAATAGTTGTAACAATTCCACCAATCAGTGCACCAGCACGCGCGCGTCGTTTTCCCAAGCGTTCGGTTGTTGTGTTACAGCTTTGTATTGGCTTTTTAGAGTGATTTTTGACATGGAAAGAAAGGAATAAGAGCGAGCAATTTTAAAAGATCACTCGGCCTAGCTCACAGCTGGGAGTCGATCGACTTGATCACCAGAAAGCAGAGGTTAAAAATCACGTCTGATGAGTACCAAGAAGAAAGATCTGGGAGAGAGTTTTCTGCACGGTGGAGAACTACTCGGAGACGAGGACGAGGATAGCGACAGTTTGCTGGCGGACGAGCTAAGAGGGATGTACCGGAATAGACTCAAAGACATGGAAGAAGTGGAAGAGAAAAGGGAAGAAGCTCACCGGGTAAGATCTATGGGATTTTTTTCCCACCAACCTCGTCAGATTGTAAACAGTGACTTACTAAATATTCGATCTCTCACCGTAAAATTTAAAATGTTCGAACACGAAAATCGAAATTGTTTCACGCCAGCTGATAAGCAGTGTTCGATCGGAAGATAAAAAAATCTAAATTTTTCAGAACTGATAGCTAATTAAGATATGTAGTGCTGTTGAAGAGCTTTTTTTAAAGAATCAAATCGCGCTTAGACCGTTAGCCATATTTCAGAAGCCACATGAAATGCAAGAGGCCAGCGGTCAGAAATATTAGACCCGCGAGGCTGGCACCGGGCGAAAACGGGCCAGCAGAACGCGGGGATATATTTCTACGCTCCCTGGACGACGTCTACCATCGTAAAAGTTCTTTAAAATTTCAAGAAACGGAATCAATTTTGTCGTTGGTGGTAAAACAGTTGAACGTGTTGAAAACTACAGTTTTGTTTACATTGGACGGCGTTTTAGTCACCGAGGCATGTTATAGCCGTGGTGCATTGACATAAATGAAGCTTATCAGATACACTTTAAAATTTTAGAGTTATGGATTCGGACGTGAGTAGTATTTGATACTGATCTCTAAAGCATATGGTCATCTTTTGTCTCTTGTAATTATTTTTTATTCTTTCCCTGTTTTATTTTCGTGAAAGGAAATTGTTTGCTCAAGTGAAGTTTTTACCTGCAAATCTGCAAATGTTTAGTTTGTTTGCAAAGAAGCATTGTGTGAGCTTAAAGCTTGATTGTGATCCTTGTAAAAATTATAAGCTACATGTACAATGTATTAATACTGTGTACAGATTTTTAATTCCAAATCAAAACATAACACTCATGTCTAGGACTTAGTCTATTGCAGAGTTAGCAGCAGATGGTGAACTTTAATGTATTCAAGGCTAGCCGACAACTTCTTGCCATCAAGGAAGTTTGCTATTGATTTCAGTCAATGATTAATTAGTGATTGAGCCTGTTAAAACTGTCTGTTTCCAATCCCCCTACCAGAAAAAAAAGGCATTTGGTTTAACAGAGTTGATAGTTAAGATTTCTTAAAGGAATAATAATTATTGAAAAAAATTTAAAGTGAAGATTGAAATTTTTTGTTGTTTGTCTTGCAGCATCAGCTCCAATCCTTGCAGTCCTTTGTGAATGAACTGAGTGATCAAAATGAGATCCTGGTTCAAACTGTTGAGGAGCTGGAGCGAGAAGCTAACGACAGAGTTGCCCTTGTGGAAAGCAAACTTCAAAAAACGACGCTGACTCTCAAGGTAAATAAAAAGTGTTTCATCCTTCCAAGATATATAGATGCATTAAATTTGACCTGTTAATTTCTGTTAGTACCAGTTGATGATGGACCTCTGCAGAAATCCATGTACAGTCTGTAGTGGCTTGATCCAGTTGGTTGTTGTTTGTGAGAAACAGAAACTTGTAATGAGCAACAAACTGACGGTTCTCTATACTGCAGCCTGATTTTTGACCTACCAATGAGGAACCAAAATTGATTCGAAAAATCAGGAAGTCCAAACAGTCGACGGTAAAATTCTCCTAATTTTTTGAATTTTGAATTTTGGCTGATAATTAAGAGGGGTGCTTAATCGAAGGGGGCGCTTATTTGAAGGGAGGTGCTAATTCAAGGATTTACGGTATGGTGTTAATCAAGAAAACTGGCCCATTAACTTTGTATGGTTGAGCCTCTATTGAAGTGGCTAACTTCTGTATAAAGGCCAGGGTCTGTATGTTTTTGTTGCAACTGGACACCAATCCAAAATACTCAAAACCTTGCTACAATGGCCACATCTAGATCAGGGGCGGATCTAGGGGGAGGGTGCAGGGGGTACATGTATGCACCTACCCCCTCTGAGATGAAGCCTTATTCTTCGTATATGCTTTAAAAATTTGTTTACCTCACCAGTCAATTACATGTACACTGTACGCCATTCCTTAGTGGTACACCCCTTGCTAAGAAAAATCCTGGATCTGCCCCTGTAGATCTCTCCAACATCTACTCGATTCTGTCCTAAGGGTGGCCCTTGTGGAGAGGTTCAAGTTGTCACTGAACTTTTTACTATAAATTTTCCAGGACTACTCAGCAAGGGCAACTGATCTGGATCTTCAAGTTGAAAAGCTGAGCAAAGAAAAGAAAGATTATGTGGAAGAGATTAAGGTGAGCTTCTATTTTATCTTGTAAAGGTCACTGAAAGTTGGGGCATGTTAATTAATACATCAATTACTTTGAATTGGTGGTGTCTTCTGATAGAGTCAGGCCTGAGAAGATTCCAGTTATGTATTGTACGACAGCAGTACCAAATGTTAAACTGTCATAGTTTTTCAGTGCTCATGACCTGCTGTTCTTTACATGTAGAGCGTTGTTTAATAAACATCAAATGAACTAGTACATACCATACATAAATGTTTTCTTCTGTGTTATTATAGGCTTTGAAAGAAGAGCTTAACATAACAACCCAACAACTGGCACAATTTGAGGCTCGTCAAGGAGACTTAGACTATGACATTGACAACTTGGTTAACTTGATTGGCACTGCTAGAGCAACAGGAAAATGGGAGGTGAGAATTGGGTTTTGTCTGATTCAATTTTATTAGGTGTGCTTTCCCTGCATGAGTTTGAAATCCAAGCTTTGATCACCTTGTAAATGATTGTCATGTTTCTGCTTTTATCAGCCATGTTTACTTAGTAACATACAGCTGTACCGTAAATCCTCAAATTAGTGCCT